TCTCCCTTTTATAAAGTGTGTGACATTGGGCCACCTGCGTGATACAGGATAATCTCCCCATCTCAAGATCCCTACTTAACTATATCTGCAGATTCCTTTTGCTACATAAGGTATATTCACAGGTTCCAGAGATTCAGATGTGGACATTTGTTGGGTGGAGGGGGGCAGTCATTCTTCATCTTACCATATTTTGTAATATCTAAAAATGATTGTATTTTTTCCTCATGCTTAATTGATAGCTTGGCTTAGTATAGAGGTATAGAATTCCAAGTTCATGATCATTTTTTCTCAGAACTTTGAAAATAGTGCTTCATTATCTTCTAGTTGATAGTTTGCTGCCAGCCTGATTCTCATGCCTTGGTAAATGACTTGACATTTTCCCCCTCTCTAAACTTCTGAGATTTTTTTTGCTTATATTGAATGTTACAACTGACTTAAGCTGAACATCAATTTAATTCATTAGTGTGCAGTTCAGTGTAATTAATGTTCATAAGCATGTCTTGCCTAACATGGCTGCTACTTTCACAAAGTGGTTTCCAAATTGTAGGTCCCATACCCTTTTAGAAGAAAGAAGGAAGCAATGAAGGGAAGAGGAGTGGATAAACAGAAATTTTCACAGTGCCATCCTGCCGTAGTTATACATATTAGTACATAAAACTTCTGTTTTATTTGTATACGTGTGGTATGTTAAAAATGTCCAAAACTTTCCAAAATTTACCATGTATTTGTTCAGAGTCTGAAACAGGAGCAGTTTTCATATAAAAAATTATCATTAAAATTATGTTACGATGTACAATATACTTGTACATTTCTACTTAGAGAGCATTTCTACTTAGCTTTAAAGTTTTAACTAAAAATTTTCCTTGTTGTCTCATGACAAACTTTATTAAAATTAATAATAAGAATGTGGCTGATTTTGAAGTACAAGAATAAGGCCTATTCTGAAGCTGCTTGTTTAAAGCCCCTGTTTGTTATTAGATGGAATGCTGGGTGTAGGCTGGTGTGGTTCATACTTGGGATCTAGCCTGAAAGACATGTTTTACCCTCAACAAATATCATCTTTGTTTGAATATTTGTAGTCCATGTAACCACAGCAAGGTCTTTTTTCTCCCTTAAAACATATCTGAAATGTCTTCTTTCTTGTGCTTGTTTCACTGATAGTTTAACGTAGAACTGCCTTCCATTTTTCTGTTTCAGTTTGTTGCAGAATATGTGAGGTATCACCTTACACTCTTGATATGCTTGAGAATTGTAAAATAATAGTGAATCTTGGAATAGATAACTTTACTCTATGAGGACTGAAGCTGTTGTTAATTCCCAAGGCCAGACTGGGTATCTAAAGGGTAAAGTAATTTTTAAATTAAATTTGTTGATTTTTATATATTTAATGTTCATCTTTCAAAATGTACACCAGGATAAATGGTCTGCTGTCAATTTTATTTTATTGGATTGAATTAGAAACTTAACAACTTGGAATGAATTGTTCATTAGAATTTGGGGTTAACTGAGTAATACTGAGTTACAATGCCTGCTTTTAAAAAATGTAATTCAGGAGGATACTTGATTTTTTTAACAGTTTCTGTGTTTAAGTGAGATAAAGGTCTTCTTAAAATGTTATAAAATACTTCTTAAAATGCTATAGTTGTCATTGTCTTTCATAAATTTGGGCCCAATGATGTTTTCCTGTGTTACTGAGTATTATTTAATCCAAGCATCCTTTATTCTTTTATCCTCACTTTTTAAAATTTGCGTCTTAAACTTTGAAACCTTGTTATATTAGATGTAAAGTCAATAAGAATAATTTGATTTAATTTGGCTTGAATAATATAATAGATTTTTTAAATTTGAGAATGACATGTGATACAAGTACCAAGTAACATAGCTGTCATGTTTAATAGGTGCCTGGAACTTGGTGCACACTGACACACAGACGCAAGACAGCTGCTGGTATCCCTGGGTCAATGTTGTAGGGCAAACTCTTTGTTCTTGCGATGGAATTTCTAAGTGAGCAAGTAGAATGAAACTAAAGGGAGTACTTGAGTGTAATTCTTAATTAACTTCTCAGCTATAGATCAGACAGTATGGAATACAATTTAACTATCGCATGTTTTACTTAAGGATGCTACCTCTTACTCTAAAGATGATTGTTTCACAATGCGGATTATTAAATAATGTCTTTAAACTCTGTTGAAAAAGGTTGGCATTTCCATTAAAGCAGGTTTGACTGTATTTTATAAAATTAGTTTGACTTTAAATTTGCTTTCTTTATAGAATACATTCATTAATATTATAAAGTTTTCTCCCCATGGAAAAATACTAAGATAAGGAATTTCTAAAGGAATTTAAAGATATAGAGCATTTATTTGATTTAGAGTTGAGCCAGCTGTTCTAATTATGGTAAAGTATATCATCTTTCTCTCATAAAATTAGGATACAGTCTCAGCTAGTTCTAATACAACCTCTGTTATATGGTTAGGTTTTCTTTTCTGGAAATCTCTAGACTAGAGATAATTCGTATGAAGCTTTAAATGTTACAGTTATGTTTTCTTGGGATACTTTGCATTACTTCTCAACTCCATACTGTTTTTGTTTTTGCCTTTATTCTTTAAAACCTTTGTCATTAAGTTCGAAATATAGTTGCAACTCCTACAGCTGGTAGCAGGAATAAAGGACTGGTGTAAAATACATTCATAGAAAATGCTCATCCACTGAATTGGCCTAATCACCATAGAAATTCACGCTTAGCTGTCCTGATCATGGAAATGCACCTTAATAAGTAGTCAGGTTTTTTAGTTTTTGTTTAATTTCTATTGATTTACTTTCCCTTCCCTTTTGCAGAAGTGTTAGTATAATGTTTTAAAGCTGGGCGACAGAAGAGGGAAAAAGGAATTGACAAAGGTTCATAAATCTAAAATAGGATAATGAATATGTATATAACTGAGTTGATTATCCCAGACTTCTGATTACATTAGTTCACTATGAAAATCTGAACTAGTCTGTATTTTTATTTTATTGAACCATTATATTATGGATTCAGATTTTCCCCAAAGGACAGCATATTGACACTTTATAGTCTGAGAAAAGCAGTGGCATAAACGTTTTTTACTAAATATAGTTTTAAAAATTTACAGATTCCCATTTTGGTATTTTGACTATTATAAACAATCTTGTGCTTGTTTGATGATCTCACTGATATAAATCCCTAGAGGTGGAATTGTTGGGTAAACGATATACCTGTTTTTAAGATTTTTGATACATATTATCAAATTTCTTTCTGGAAAGATTTATGCATTTATAATTCTATCCTCAGTGTAAGGTACTGCAGATTTGCCCACACTTTGTCAGCATTGATCAATATCATTGCATTTTTGGTTAGGTGCAAAGGGATATTTTAAAACTTGCTTATCTTTAGTTTCTAATGAGTTTGATTTCCCCCCATGTCATGGCTTTTAAATTTAGATTTTATTTTTATCAGAGCTATCCTTGGCTTAAAGATTCAGCAGTTTGTAAGACTTCTTTCGAAAAATAGCTGACTTTCATACCCCTCCCTCCTCACTGCTTACTCCCCTAGCTGATTCTTTTTTTGTTTACTTCCATAGTGAGAGATAACATGCCTCTATTGCCACTTCTGCTTCTGCAGTTTTAGGCATCATCTATTAGTTTCCTGCTTTGGAGGGTGAGGGTCTGTGCTCCCAACCTCTGCTCCATACGGGCACATCCCTTCAACTCTCAGGGAGTTGATGCCTTTAATCAACTCCCTGTTTTTAACCCCACCCTTCCCTCTCCTCAGGAGTTACCATTTGCTGAGCCTTTGAGGGATGGGCTTTAAAGAATCCCTCTTTTTTCATTTTAGTTCTGTTTAAGGAGCAATGGATGCTTGTTCCATCTGCCATTGTTAATGGGAAGTTCTTTCTCTTGTCTTTAGTAATCATGCTTATAAAGTAATGCTTATATGGAGTCACCACTGTCTGGATTTAAATCCTGGCTTTGCTATTAACTAGTGTCGAGAGCTTAGACAAGTTGGTTCAAATCTCTAAACCTCATTTTTTTCCATCTGTGTAGTAGGATTAACATAATACCTATCTTAGAGTGTTACAAAGTGCTCTTCACCGTAGTGTCTGCTGCCTGGCAGTATCTTATTCTATGCCAGGCACTTAGTAAGAGTACAAATATAGTTGCCCCTGCTGCTGTTGCTCTTGTGAATGTCTTGCTCATCCCTTGACCCAATCTTCCAGTGGAATGCTGTCTTCTTCTTGATCAGAGATGCCATTTACATAGTCTGTCATTAGTCTTTTATTTTTATTCATGGTATTTGGGATGTGTAATCATATTCATACTATTTTATGTTATGATCTCTACTTTTGTTGTCAGATTTGTGTTTTTGAAAAATACCTGGTGGTAATAAAGAAGGGTGTGTGTGTGTGTGTGTGTGTGTGTGTGTGGAGGAGGAGAGGAAAACTGGAGATTATTATAATATTTGGGGCATTGACAAGGGGGCCTGAGAGGTTAAATGAAGAAATGATTATTTTCATCATGTAAGAGAAATAGTTTTTAAATAACTCCTGAGGTCTTTGTGGATGGAGCCCAGTAATTTCTAAGAGCCTTGAGTGCTCTTCTCAAAATCTACCCAAATGGATTTTGTCTGAAATCCTAGAGCTTTTAGTTCCAGTTTCTCCTTTAATACTCATTTCTCTGAAATTAGATCCAAAATTGATTCTTGAGGGATAAGATTTATCATATCCCCTAAGTTAATGCTATGTTAACAAAATTGCTTTCTTTTCAATATTATATATAATATTGAAATTATATATATGTTGCTATTTTAAGGTTGTAGTTACATATACCTAACTCACCCTTTTAAGTTTATTTGATTTTTGCTGGTTTGTCATTTTATGCAGTATGGATTTATTTTATTTGTATCTGTTTTGTCTTAGTTTTATGATTAATTAATGATTCTTTAAATAATAGTTCATCTAAATTTGAATTTGGTCTCTCCACAGATTCAGACCAGGATGTAGCACTCAAACTAGCCCAGGAGCGAGCTGAAATAGTTGCTAAATATGACAGAGTAAGTATTCATATTTGCTCTTTGCGTAAGTTTTATTAGAAAAAACATAAATAGAAAAGGATTTGCTTTTTGGAGAGCTTAAATTACAGAACCAGTTTGTTTACTTCATGTGACCATTGAAGTCATCTTTCTTCTCTGACTTCATTACTAAATGTTCTCTCCTTCCTCCCCTCTGCTCCAACTGCTTCAGTCTATTGCTGTTCTCCTAATACACCAGGCTTGCTCCTGACTCAGGGCCTTTGCACGGGCTGTTTCTTCTGCCCAGAACACATAGATCCTGGACATGCTCATGTTTCATTACCTTACTTCTTTCAGATCTCACCCAGATGCTATCTTAGTGAAAGTCTCTGACCACACTGTTTAATACTCCCCCATACCTTCGGCGCTTCGTGTCCCCTTTTCTTATTTATTCTTCACCATATAACTTATTACATCAACATACTATATATTATACTTTGTTTGTTGTCTGCTCTTGCTCCTAGAATGTACAAACTCTCTGAGGGTATGAATTTCTTTTGATTTACTCTTGTATCCTAAATACCTAGAATAATTCCTGACTCATACTAGGTATTCAATAAATATTTTAATAACTTAGCGTATATATTTAAATACCCATTTTATTCATAATTTATATATGCTATTAAAAATTTTACCTGGATCTGAAAATGTAAATTATACATTCATATATAATCTCCATTAGCATTTTATCCTTAAATTAGTATGGAATCTGGTTTTGGATGACCCAGGAATCACAGTTGTTGACAATTTACATGTCTCATTATTCCCTTAACTCTTGAGGTCTCTGAGTCGCAACAATGATTTATAAATGTCGTGTTTTATATTTATATCACTTGCATGTAATTTTATATGTTATTTTTGGTTATTTGGGAGTGTAACAGGAGGATGGGATTAGAGAAAGCCACCTGGACTGCTCTGCTTCCAGGGAGGCATCAGGCAGAGCTCAGCTCAATGGTTATATCCCCAGAGTTTGTTTTAAGTTGGTCATTTGGAACATCAGACACAGTTTCCCACTATTATGATTAGGTTTTAGTGTAGTCGATGAAAAACTAATTAATTTATTTAACTGCTTATGTAATTTTAAACCAATAGAACTATCACTCATTCAAGCTTGCATGTGTTTTTTTGTTGTTGTTGTTTTCATACAACTAGCACTTAGGGACAAGGCTTGGCATTGTGCTGGGCCCTGGGTATTCACACTACAGATGTGAGTTAGAATAGTCTTTGCCCACAGATGCTCACAGCTTACTTGGAGAAGAACGCATGAGCAGACAGTTACGAAGTATACTCAGATGGAGGGGTTCACAAGACAGTTGGGTACTGAATCTGAAATCTGAGGGATTGGTATAGACAGTTACATTTGGGGTTGCTGCTCCAATAGTGCTAGTTAACAGCCTTAAGGGTAGAATGTGAGAGCAGTGGCTGAGGACAGAGGCCTGGACACACTGACAGTTAAGAGATACTGTGAAAAAGCCACCAAAAAAGAGTTGGAAAGAGATGAGGAGATTCAAGAGAGATAGCGCCATGGAGGTTGAGGATAGGGAGTGAACAACACTGCCAAGTGCTTCGAAAAAATTCAGTAGGTAAGGACTGAGGAGTGTCCATTGGTTTTAACAATGGGAGATTGTTTTTGACTTTGGCATCTGTGAAGTAAAGCAGTAGAGAGACAAGGCGGATAGCCCACTCTTCTGAGAAGTTTGTACAAAAAGACAAGAAATACTTTTTTTCCTAAGACATGTTCACTCTAAACTTTTAAGTTTGATAGCTCATTCTTGAATTACTTTCCTGTCCTCTATTGCTCCCTCCTTCCCAGCTATTCACAGGAACCCAAGTTTAATCAAAGCTTAGCTACGTGTTAGCTGTTGCTGACATATAGTATCTTCCAAAGTTTGTAACTAGAAAATAGCGATTATATTGCCAAATGTATATATATTTAAAAGTTAACTAAGGTGGATAGTGCCTCATTTCTAATTTTTACTGTTAATACATAAAAAATAACTCTTCCTTTTTGGTCTTTTTATTTAAAAATTATTCAGTTACATAGATTTCCAGTAACAACTGTCTGTTCACTATTATAGGGACGAGAAGGTGCAGAGATTGAACCTTGGGAAGATGCTGATTACCTTGTTTACAAAGTCACGGATAGATTTGGCTTTTTACAGTAAGTTGCTGTGAATAAGATTCTAGGACTCGTCCTGCAACATGCTTTTTTGTTACTAAATTCCTAGCATTTATAACTTCTATGATTGAAATTCAACCATTTTGTAAGAGTACAATCTTTAATACTATTTGTTATATTTTAGTAAGAACATTAAGTGCAGTAAGTAAGTTGTATTAATAATTTATCAGAATTAAATGGAAATTAATAACAGTTGTACAGTATTTCAAAAATAATTATAAAACACTTCATTTTATAGAAATGCATTTTAAAAATAATTAGCAATTAGAACTGTACTGTTATGCAGCCCGAAATTGAGCAATGAAAAAAAATGCCATTGATCTTCCTTATAGCTGTAAATGTATTTGTGTTATTGCTTCTCAAAATTAATTCCATTCATCCTGAGTATGTTATATAGAGTTGAGAGAGGTCTAGACCACTATAAAGTAAAGTGGTTAAAAGGATTTTGACTCTTAAAAGCATCCTGCAAATGATGTGAATCTGCCTGTTCTGGTTCTGACATTGTTTAGTCAGATTCCCATGGGCTGGAGACTTCTCTTCATTCTTGTGGTTTGTTTGGTTCTGTACAGTTCAGTGATTAATTTCTCATTCAAATGTGTTTTTTTCAGTCTTGTTTATTATAAATAGGAAAAAGCCAGAGATTTTTATTTTATGATATATGATTAAATTTTGAAGGAAAAACACAGTATTTGGTATATTTCATGGCAGTAACTTAAGTACTGAGAACTTGTTTTCTCCTTCTGTTCAGTTTTCTTGCATTTAGATAGTATTTGCTTGTCTAATATTTTTCTCAGGGTAAAACAAGCAAACAGATAAACAGAAACAGTTCTGAAAGTTAGAGAATATATGCTTTTCTTGTGGCTTCGCTGGCTCAGCTACCCATGCCTCACGTGTAAAACAGAAATCAACTACTCTACATACCTTATGGTGTAGTGGAAGCTTTGAAGACATAAAATGATAGAATACTATATAAAGGTCTGGACAAATATAAGGTGTTATTATTATGCCTAATGACATGACATTGGCATACCCAAGTATCATAAGTAGTTAAAATTAGAAGACTTTGAACTTCAACAGACTTAACAGCAGTATTTAACTATGATGAAAATACTGTTCTTAAATTAATGCCCCCACTTCCACTTTTTTTTTTTTTTAAGTAAATCAAGCTTGACCACTGATGTGGCAGGAAATGATTACACATTTGTGTGTGGGTTAGTATGCAGATCTTAGGTATGTGAGTGGAGTTTTGAAGACAATTTGAGTATTTAGCACTGTCAAGATCAGTCGGTCCCAAACTTGCCTGTACATTAGAGTCAGCTGGGAACTGTTTGTTTTTTAAAAATAGATTTCTGGGGTCTATCCCTGATTTTGATTCAGCAGGTAGAATGCAACTCAGCTGATTGTGACATCCTCAGTGTTTCTGATGGGAGTGAACCACTCTAAGAGATATTTTAATCATAAAATGGTCTAATATAGTACAAAATACATATGAAAAACCTGTGCATTCCAAAAGGGTCTAGGAATTACATAAATTCTTTTTTCATTGCTTTGAACAACGTGAGCGAGTTTCTAGCCCAAAAGCCTAGCCTGTACTTGGCAGTCTAAAAATTGCACTCAGTTATTTTGTATTTTGTATTCTCCATGCTGAAGCCCATTTGGCACTAGTGGGGAAAAAGTCAGTAATTTATCTTAATAATATTAGTTAATATTCATTGGGCACTTACTGTGTGACAGGCACTGTTTTATGCTCTTTTCATGGATTAACATTCATTTATTTCTCTCAGAAACTTCTTGGGATAGGTACTCTTTTTATTATTATTTTTTAGATGAAAATGAAGCACAAAGAGGTCATGCAGCTTGCCCAAGTTGTGCTGACAGTGTCAGATCTGGGATGTGGAACTTGGAGGTCCTACAGCAGAGCCTGTGTTTTGAACTTCTGCATTACACTGCCTGTTCCTGCTCTCCTGTATTTTTAATAAGAGAAACACAGTAGAAGGCTTTGAAATGCCTAGAAAGAAAAGTAGGGGGTGCCTAAAGAGAGGGGTACTGTTTGAAACGATCCCATATCCTGAGGTATGCTCAGATAGCTAAGCTCACCACTTCTGGGAAAACGGAACTGATTAATACCAGTTCTCATACTATCACACTAATTTTTTAAAATTTACTCCATGATGCAGTCCTCCATGATTTGTGAGGCAGGCAGCACAAATGAAAATAATGAAGCATAGAAATGGATTTTAGTGTAATGTTAGGCTTTATTAAATTTCACCAAAGTCATTGATTTTTGTTACAGTGCCTAATTTCAGTAAAATGCTTTCTCCAGAGGTCGCTGCTGGTGGCTTTTATTGCTTGTCATTGTTGCCTGGAGTTTTTGTGTGCTATTGAATAAAGTCACATTGCCTGGATGATTAGATACTGCTCCCTGTTGCACCTTGATCAAAAGAGCATTTCTTTCTGCTGTCTTAGTTCTTTGCAATTTTTTATTGGTTTTCCAATGAAACTGGGTTTTAAGTGTCAATGTCAATACAATGCAATGGCAAAAACTAACTTTGTAGCCTTCTCTGAAGGCTGCTGACTTCATATCTAATTATAGTTTTAGGAAGTTAAATTACTTGTTATGATATGTGGGGAAGGATGACGGTAATTAACAAATGCAGTACAGGAATAACTTGGTTTTATAACAGATTTCACAATAAATATGAAAACTGTTGCCAAACCAGCTTGGCTTGATGCTGGAACAGGAATATCTTTGTTAAGTACTCAGAAACGAGGAGCTCTCCCCAGTCTGCATGCTGTGTTTGCATCACATCTGAGAATGGAGAAATTGAGCTTATTTAAGAAGTTGGAGCACTTTCAACATTTTTATCAAAAATAGCCAGTGCTACTCTGCTCGACAAAGAATGCTTGGTATTTGGATAATGATAGATAATGCCTTTAGGTCACAAGTTATTAATAGAAGGATTAAAAGGAAATTGTACCAGAAATAAAGATAAAATTAATGCCAAGCTTCAGGTTTTCAACTACTTATCAAAATGTATATATTTATAAAATTTAGCTGATTATAGTTTACTATGACTGTATAAATATTGGGAAGCCAGAATAAAGGTGTTTTTGTTTTTGAATAATATCTGATTTGATGACAGGGGCTTGAGAACTCTTTCTACTCATCTAATAATTTTGACTGGAGTAAATCTAAGTTTAGACAAAATTTACTGCAAAAATAGAAATAAAATTTAGTCAGTATATTCAACTTAAGTGATTTTAACAAGTTAAGTTTTAAGTTTCCAAATGAAAGTTTATCTCAAGTTGTAGAAATATTCCATCTGAGCTATTGAAAAATTACAGACATATATACTCTAATTAGTAATTTTAAATTTAATAGCAGATGAAAAAAATAGTTCCAGTTAAGGTCCCTCTCTTTCCAGTGATGCTGTGTTGTTGTTACTTACTGTATTTCCCTGAGGCCTAGCTTCTTACTGTCAGCTTGGTATTTTCTTTGAGCTGCTTTTAGTTGCTTCTTTTCCTTAGAGGATAAACCTGTTTTTTAAAGCCGGGAGAGGCAATCATTTCCTGTAAAGAGCCAAATATGAAATGTTTCTGGCTTTATGCACCCTTTGTCACAGCTATTCAATTCTACCATTGTAGCATGAAAACAACCACAGACAATACATAAATGAATGAGTGTGGCAGTGTTCTAATAAAACTTCATTTATAAAACCAGGCAATGGGCCAGATTTCATCCATGGGCTGTAGTTTGCTGACCTAAAAGAATACCTCACTCATATTTTGGTCCTTTTTTCCCCCTACTTGAAGGATATTTAGGTGGCAAGGTAAAGATGCATACATGCGTGCAGGCATGCATTCATCCTTCCCTTCATACATTCATTCAGCAATATTAGTGTATTCCTTCAATGTGCCAGCACCTGTGCCTAAGGCTGGTGTGGTGCTTTACATGTGTGTTCTAGACATTGTGTGTAGCTCTTGGTAAGGCAGAATTCCCCTGCTTTCTCCTTGGAAGGCTGTGGAAATTAATGTATGCCACTACAGAGATTTGAGAAGGAATAGTTTTTTGGAGAGGAGTGTTGTGCACACAGCAGACTTTATATAAAAGGTTTTAGGTATGGAGCAGTAATGCAAGAAAATCCATGTAGGAAAACTTGACCACATTCTTGAGCTCTGTCATCCATCTATAAAGTCTAAAGACTTATTACAAAATTCAACATCCATTCATGAAAAAACTCTCAATAAAATGTGTAGAGGGGGAATGTATCTTAACATAACAGAGGCTATATATGACAAATTCACAGCTGAGATCATTCCAAAAGGGGAAAAATGGAAAATTTTTCCTCTAAGATAAAAACAAGACAAAGATGCACACTCTTGCCACTTTTACTCAGTATAGCACTGAAAGCCCTAGCCACAGCAATAAGGCAAGAAAAAAAAGGCATCCAGATCAGAAGGGAAAAAAATAAAACTGTCTCTATTTGCAGATAATATGATCTTATATATAGAAAACCCTAAAGACTCCACCAAAAAAATGGTTAGAACTAATAAATAAATTCAATAAAGTTGCAGGATACAAACTCAATATACAGACAAATCAGTTGCATTTCTATATACTAGTAACAAACTATCTGAAATAGAAATTAAGAGAACAGTTCTATTTACTGTTACATCAAAAAGAGTCAGATACTTAAGAATCAATTTAATGAAAGAGGTAATAGACCTGTGCTTTGAAAACTATAAGACATTATCGAAAGAAATGGAAGAACATACAAATGAATGGAATGATATTCTGTACAAATGGATTAAAAGAATTAATATTATTAAAATGTCCACTCTACCTAAAGCAATATACAGATTCAGTGCCATCCCTATCAAAATTCCAATGGCTTGTCTTCCGGAAATAGAATAAACAATTCTAAAATTTTTATATAATCACAAAAGACCCAGAATTACCAAAGCAGTTTTGCGCAAGAACAACAGGGCTGTAGGCATAACACTTCTTGATTCCAAACTATATTACAAAGCTATAGTAATCAAAACAGAATGGTGTTGGCATAAAAACAGACACATAGATCAAATAAACCCACATATATATGGTAAATTAATTTATGACAAAGGAGGCAAGACTATACAATGGGGAAAGGATAGTCTCTTCAATAAATGGTATTTCCCTAGCCAGTTTGGCTCAGTGGTTAGAGTGTCAGCCCAAGGACTGAAGGGTCTCAGTTTGCATTTTGGTCAAAGGCACATGTGGGAGGCAACCAATTGATGTCACATAGATGTTCCCCCCCCCCCACTTTCTCTGAAAAGCAATGAAAAAAATATCCTCGGGTGAGGATTAAAAAAAAAATGGTGTTCAGGCCCTGGCCTGGGTGGGTGAGTTGGTTGGGCATCATCCGGTGCACCAGGAGGTTGCAGGTTTGATTCCCAGTGAAGAGCACATGCCCAGGTTGCAGGGTTGTAGGCTCGATCCTCAGTACTGGGTGTGCAGGAGGCAGACAATTGCTGTTGAGCTCTCACATTGATGCTGAGCTCTCTGTCTCCTCCCTTCCTGTCTTTCTAAAAATCAATAAACTATTAAAAAATGGTGTTAGGAAAACTGGACAGCCACATGCAAAAGAATAAAACTACACCACTATCTTATATCACATACAAAAATCAACTCAAAATGGATTAAAGACTGAATATAGACCTGAAACCATAAAATTCCTGGAAGAAAACAGGCAGCAAACTTCTTGACATCTATCTTTGTTACAATTTTTTTTGGATTTGACACCAAAAGCAAATACAACAAAAGCAGAAATAAACAAGTGGGACTGTATCAAACTAAAAAGTTTCTGCACAGCAAAGGAAACCATCAACAAAAGGACAAGGCAGCCTACTAAATGGGAGAAAATATTTGCAAATCCTGTGTTTGATAAGGGGTTAAGGTCCAAACTATATAAAGAACTCATACAACTCAATACCAGAAACCGCAAACCATTTCATTGAAAAATGGGCAGAGGATCTGAATAGACATTTTTCCAAAGACGACACACAAATGGCCAATAGGTACAGGAAACAGTGCTCAGTATCACTAAGTATCAGGAAAATGCAAATCAAAACCACAATGAGATATCACCTCAAATCAATTTAGATTAAAAAAGACAAAAGTGTTGGTGAAGATGTGGAGAAAAGGGAACCCTCGTGCATTGTTAGTGGGATTGTAAATTGTTGCAGCCACTATGGAAAACAATATGGAGGTTCCTCAAAAAATTAAAATAGAATTACCATATGATCCAGCAATTCCACCTCTGGGTATTTATCTGAAGGGAAATTAAATCACTGCCTTGAAAAGATATCTGTACCCCTATGTTCTTTGCAGCGTTATTTACAATAGCCAAGACATGGAAACAACCTAAGTATCCATCTACAGATGAGTGGAAAAGAAAATGTCAATATATATACCTTTACAGCATTATTTTAAGTGACATAAGTCAGACTGAGAAAGACGAATACTGTATGATATCTCTTATATGTAGAATCTGAAACAAACAACAAACTCAGATACAGAGAACAGTTTGGTAGTTGCCAGAAGCTGGGGGTGGGGGGTGGGGCAGTGGGTGAGGGTTATCAATAAGTATAAACTTCTAGTTATAAGTAAGTCCTGAGGATGTAATGTACAGCATGGTGACTATAGTTAACATTACTATATTGTATATTTGAAAGTTGCTAAGGGAGTAGATCTCATCACAAGGAAAAATAAAAAGATCTGTAAGGATGTTTGCTGATGGATGTTAACTAAACTTAATATAATCATTTTGCAGTATATATACATATATTAAATCATTATGTTACAGTCTAAAACTAATACATTGTTATATGTCAATTATGTCTCAATTTTTAAATAAATAAATTTTAAAATGCACATTAAAAAATGCTTGGATAGCCCTAGCTGGTTTGACTCAGTGGTTAGAGTGGACTGAAGGGTTCCAAGTTTGATTTTGGCCAAGGGCATGTACCTTGGTTGCAGGCTCCATCCTGGCCCTGGTTAGGGCTCGTGCAGGAGGCAACCAATCGATGTTCCTCCCTCTCTCCCTCCCTCCCTCCCCCCCTTTCCACTCTCTTTGAAAAGCAATGGAAAAAATATCCTCGGGTGAGGATTTAAAAATAAAAAACTTGGATAGTAGGAGTTCAATAACTGTTTGGTGATCTCATGATGGGGACTGGATAGGCAATCAGATTCTGGTGGGGTTGCCACAGAGCAAAGGAAGTTATGTGAAATATTGGGTTGAATGGAAATCTAAGACCAGGTTTGTGCACTCCTGGATTTTGCCTAAGGCTGACCATGGTTATAGGCATATTCTGGCATTCCTCTCTCCCAGGGTTTCAGTAGCATGATTGGAGGTTAAGGTGGAGTGGGGTGCTGTTTGCAGTCCTGTCTCATCTTGAATTTCACAAAGCAGTTGGTTCTGAAGGACCTGCCCAGCACAGGCCATGTAACCTGAGCAGATGATCAGCATCATTCCACAGACAAGTGCAGAAACTTGGTTCTGATTCAGGGTTGAGAGCAGGTTTGTCAGTCTTGTTTAACAAATAGGAGGACACCAAAGAGATGCACCCAGCAACTTCAGAGAACTTCTGTGATAGGCAGCCATAGCTAGCACTTCGTTTGCAGTTAGGAATGTTCAAATAAACAGTTGTCAGGATCAACTGAAATCAGCTGTGCAAAAGGTTGGTCTTGCCCAGGGCAGCCCACTCACCCCAGAAATACCATTCTTGGTGTGCACAAAGGGTGTCAGATGTCTTATTCTTCCAGGGTGTCCCTGCTGACCTAGTTACCTAGGAAGTACATTCCAGTGGCGTCGACAAGCCCTCTTCTACCAGTAAATGAAGATTGGATGGGTGTACTTAGTGGATAGGTATAATGAGGAAGTTATATCCTGTAGCATTCATATATCATATTCCCTAGTAATAAGGATTACAAATTTAATTTTTTTCTTGGAAAAAAAATAGCACCGGAAAGTGCTTTTATTGATTTTGAGAGAGAGATGAGGAGGAAGGGAGAGAGAGAAGCATTGATTTGTTGTTCCACTTATTTCTGTATTCCTTGGTTGATTCTTGTTTGTGCCCTGACCGGAGATTGAACCTGCAGCCTTGGCATATCTGGCTGATTCTCTAACCAGCTGAGCTACCCGGCCAGGGAGGATTACAAGTTAGCAGGGAAATTTTGACTAAGAGCACAATGAAAACTATAAAAAAAATCAAGGTGTCACATTCAGTAAAGGTGAGTGGACCCTTTACATCAGAAAAAAAATAACAAAATACTTTTTATATTTAACCCTCAAAGTTTCTTGTCTTCTTGAGAATTGGTTTTTCAGTCTTTTCATATACTCTCCCACAATTTGAACGTTTTGTTGATTTAATTTGAACTCACTGGGTTAGATAGTGCTGAACATCTCTATATTAGGCTAAGTGTGACTAAGTGAAATGTTAGTTTTTGTATCTGTGAAATGAGGGTTTGGACTATCTCTTTATTCAACTATTATACTTTTTGTCAGTTCCATTGCTATAACTTCATGGTTCACCTAAGAAGTCATCAGAGTAGCAGAGTGCCGTTGAAACACAGGACTCTGAATACGAANAGTTCCATTGCTATAACTTCATGGTTCACCTAAGAACTTGAGTCATCAGAGTAGCAGAGTGCCGTTGAAACACAGGACTCTGAATACGAATGTATTGCACTCTGGAAAGTGGTATTATTTGATCTCAAGAGAAACTAAGGCAAGAATATATACATATCATTGCCAAAACATCAACAATACTGAGATAGCAACTCAAAGCACATAACGCTGTTTACAGAAAGCACACTGTTTTTATATTATTGACAGTGAGTATAAGAGTCCCAGAATATTTTATATTAGAGGTGATATCACAAAATTACTGTCAGAAAAGTGAATTTCATCTCTTAGTGTATGTTAAAAAATCATCCCCATTGAAGTTTTTACAAATGAAGATTTCTTTATTTACTGAATAAAAGTTGAAGTTTTCTTCTTAATTCATAAGTCTCTTGGAAGCAGTTTTATTTCCTTATACTAATTTTTTAAAACAATCATTTATTACAGGCCATGGTTTGAGCCAGAGAGTGGAGGTGGTGGTCTAGAGTAGAGGTTGGTGAATTATGTCCTGAGACTGAGTAACTGAATTTTAATTTAATTTAATCTTAATTTTAATTTAAGATTAAATAGCCACATGTGTCTAAAGATTACTTTATTGGACAGTGCAGGTCTAGAAATTTGAAGATAGGGGAGCATTGTGGTTATAAATAGCTAAATGTTTTATAAGGAATTTGGTGAAATGGGAGCTATGTAACTTTTGTAATGACAGTTAATGGTTGTCTATCATGTGTACCTATTGGTTTATAATTTTTTCAAAGTTTGCTGTTACTTCAAGTATTTGACATGTACTATTTTTTTCCTCTGCAGTGAGGAGGAGCTCCCATATCATAATGCAGCCGTGGAACGGGTAAGGCCAGCTCTGCATTTACTGACAGTTACTGGTGAATTAATTGTGTTTATCAGAGGAGTAAAATCGACCACCTTCCTGATTTTGAGTGCTATATTATATATAAATGGGGCAGTCATTGTTAAAATTTGGCCCTAAGTGTATCATTGTAGGAAAGTAATTAAATTAATGGTGAAATAATTTTAGGAGATTTGATGGAACTTTTAATAGATATTTGAGAAAAGGCAAGGTAGCAATTATCAGAAAAGATTTGTATTCTAGACAAGTAGTTCTCAATCTAGGATTGCTTTCTAATGCAGAGCCTTTAAAGAACACAGTTGCTTAGGACCCACCTCAGTCTGTCAAGTCAGACTCTCTGGGCAGGAGGCTGGGCAGGTAATTTTTAAAAAATTTCACAAGGGATTCTCATGTGTCCCTTGGCCAACAGAGCACTATTCTAGACCAAGTAGCTCTTTGGAAAATCGCTACTCCATGAGGTTTTAATCAACTTTCCCACAAACAAGAACAACAACTAAGTTTTCTGTAGTCAAATAAAGATATTAGCTTTTTAAGGACTTAGAGAAGTCTTATATATAGTAAACCTGTCACTTTTTTTGGTAACTCGGAGTTTCCCATTTCTTCATTATACTTGGCTAGGGAGCTGATTTCATAGCTGAGAGCTAGGGACTGAATGTTTTTAAGTTGGTCAGAATCTCCCCTTCTGTTTCATTTTTGTTTTTTTTCTGTACAAAAAAGTGAATTATAGAACAAGAGGGAGGCTAAGATTGGGTTTGTTCTTTGTTTATGTTTGATGGGGAAGGAGGCTGAATTTGAGATAATGGAGATAAAATTAAAATTGGAATCTGAAAAAATATTTTAGAAAATCTTTCTAAAATCAAATTTTCTGAAAATAAAAACTGTAGCATAACTTTGAGATGTAGACAAAATTGCCATTTTACATATATAGAGTTCCCTATCGGTACTGTGTACAGTTGAATTCTCTTGTGACTTCCTGATTCTCTCAGTATCATACCTTGATGTTTTGGCAAATAAATTTGTTTGTTTTTAATAGTTACATTCTTGCATAGCACTGGACTAGGTACTGCCTAGAATATTCGGGTCAAATAGACAGTTTCTGCCTTTGAGATGCTCACTGTCTGCCCAGTGACTAGAAGAAGGTCAAGTGAGTCAGTAGGTGGGAGACTGATGATCAGTGGCTTTGGGAGCATAGCATTAATGAAATGGTAGTGCTAGTGATGGGGAAGGCAGATCTGTGGCTCTGGAATGAATGAGAAGGAAGTGATGAATAACAGCAATTTCTGAATTCTGCCTCTGGTGAACTTTCTACAGTCCACTTTGAAATGGAACATAAGGATTTGTTTCCACTCTCTGGCAGTTCTTCTCTTGTCTATGGTGCTGATTTCACTAATCCTTGGACCCTAGTGATACCACCACTGTTTCACTGTCCCTCACACACTCATGTCTTCATTCCCCTCTTCCCAGCTCAGTTCTACGGTCACTTGCAAATGCCTTAACCTCCCTTGCCTCTCTCTCTTCTTCTGGACTAAACTACAGACCTAGTTAAACCCAACTTTCTGCTGCTGCAGTGCCTGCACCTGCATGGCTAAGTGCAACTAGGGAGACAGGTATGCTCACTGGTTTTACTTTAAATTCATGATCGCAGACCTCAGCTGGAGCATTAGCGCTGCCAGGAAGTCATGCTGTCCTCCCTAGTGAATGTCTGCTCTCATTTCAACTATTGGAACGTTTTCTTCCCTCCTCAAGGCTCCAGATTGCTTTCTCTGTCCTCTCTCAGCTAATGGCCTTGCTTCTTATTTCTTGTAAGAAAACAGAAGCGATCAGAAGAGAACTTCCATGGGCCTCCACAACCACACCTACCCACCTGTCATCGTTCGTGCATAGTGCTCTAGTTCCTGTGCATGTACGTTGCTTGTTCATGCCTGGCCCACTACAGTCTCACTCAAGCTGTTTTTCCCTCTCTCTCCTGAAATTCTTTCTTCTACTTAATTGTTTCCATCAGAGTAAAATCTATTATTACTCCCATTTTAAAAAACACAAAAAACACCAATCTTCCTTTGACCCTATTTGCTTCTCAGCTACTTCTCTGATTCCTACAGCATTCTCTGTTGCCCTTACTCTTGAAAGGGGTTCCTATATTCTTTCTTTTCCCTTTCTTTCCTGCAGTTCCTCCTTATACCCATTCCAGTTGGAGTTTAACTCCCACCCCCACCCCATTGCCATTATCAGGGTCTCTACCTTTATACTGCTACATCCAGTAGTCAATTCCCAGTCTTCCCCTTGACCTACCAGCAGCATTTGACATGGTTGGTTCCTGTCTGTTCCGACATATTGTCTTTCCTGGACTTCAGAGCTCACATATTCTTCTTTCCTCACTGGCTGCTCTTTCTCATCTCCTTGGTCTACACTTCGAGGTGCCTCATGGCTCAGGCCTTGAACTTCTTTTTCCTTTCTGTGTTTTTCCTATGGTAATCTCATCTAGCCTTTGGCTTTAAATGCCAACTGTATGTTGATGACTTGGCTCCCTCAATCCCAGACTTGAATATTTTTGTATATATGTTTCAGTGTCTAGACTTAACTGTCTGACTTACCTACCATATACACTTAGGTGTCTAATAGATGGACAAACTGGGGTTTCTGTTATTCTCTTCAAATCCTTTCTATTAGTAAACTTCCTCATCTCTATAAGTGGGAACTCTACTCTTCTAGTTGTTCAGTCTAAAAACTTCTGAGTTAGCCTGGCCAGGCATGGGTCAGAGGTTGAGCATCGACCTAGGATCCAGGAGATCGGGGTTCGATTACCGGTCAGGGCACATGCCCGGGTTGCGGGCTAGGCAGCCAATCAGTGACTCTCTCATCACTGATGTTTCTATCTCTCTCTCTCCCCCTCCTTTGCTCTCTCTGAAATCAATAAAGATATGTTTTAAAATAAATAAAATAAAAACTTCTGAGTTAGCTTTGACTTTTTGTTACCCCTCTTTTCATCTCTTAGCAGTCCTATGAGCTCTGCCTTCTAAATATATTCAGTATCTGATCACCAGCTCCACTTCTACCACCTGGCCCACTACAGTCTCTCTTCTGGAGCTTCCAACTTCCTGCTTCTGCCGCCGGTCCCCTTTTCCCCCAGAGTCTCTCTGTTCACCAGAGAGCCAGAATGATCCTATTAAAATAAGTAAGATCATGTCATTCTCTAGTTGAAACACAGGAAGAGGCAAAGTCCTTAGAATGGCCTGCAGAGCCCTGTATGACCTGGTTTGTGTGAAGTCTCTCATCTTGTCTCCTACTGCCTTCCCTTGCTCTCTCACTGGCCTCCTTAGAGCTTCTTTATTTTTTTATATATATCTTTATTGATTTCAGAGAGAGGAAGGAAGAGGGAGAGAGAGAGAGTTGAAACATCAATGATGAGAGAGTCGTCATGGATCGGCCACCTCCTGCACACCGACTGGGGATCGAGCCTGCAACCCAGGCATGTGCCCTTACTGGGAATCGAACCCAGATCTCCTGGATCCCAGGATGATGCTCACCTGCTGAGCCACGCCCGGCCGGGCCCCTTAGTGCTGCTTGAGCATGCCCAGCACATCCCTTCTATCAGGCCTTCTGCACTGGCTGTTTCCTGTCTCAGGGTGTTCTTCCCCAGGTTGTGACAAGTCTCAGTTCCTCATTCCTTTAAGTCTCAAATGTCACCTTCAGAAAAATACCCTCCCTGGCCATCATTTCTAAAATCAAGAATTGTCCCCCACTAATTATTCACTTCCCTCCTTTATTTTTCTCTTTAGCACATATTTCACATAGTAAATATTTTACTTACTTTCTTATTTGTCAGTTTCCTCACTAGGCTGTAATCTCTGTGAGGGACTTTTTTTAATCCACTTTGTTCACTGCTCTATCCCTAGAACCTGGAGTAGTGTACATTGTATGTTAGTATGTGTGCAGTAACTGGTGTCTGAATGAATGACCAGATGAATGTAATGACTGCTTTATAACTAAATATGTTGATTCGAAGACTGGCTCAGATTATCTCTGAATGTTAAATATCCTTTTTGAGAAATCAGGGAGAGAAGAGTTGGAAGATATCTTGTAACAAAAGATACCACCTGTATTTGGCAAAATAGAAACCTGGCAACTCAGTATTGACTTCTCTCTCCAATGCCCACCTCCTCTCCTTTTAAAAACAATTTCCTAGCCCAGAAAGTCCCAAAGACTGGGAACCCGTGATACAGTTTTAAGAAATGTGATAGTAAAGAAAATAAGACATATAAGACAAAAACTAGTGGAGGATGCACACTTTAGGTAGACTTTTAAAAAATACTTTATTATTTTTTTTATTAAAAATTTTTTAATGTTGACAGTATTGTAGGTCTCCATTCTAAAAGATATTTGTTCATATAATGCATTCAAGGTTGTAATTAATTGGTTATTTAATCTCAAGAGTTTAATACAATAGGAAATCACTAAAAAATGATATATGCACACCTTAAAAATTTAACAGAAGATATAATTTTATATTCATTTGTCAGTCTTTTATTGAGAGACAGGCAGGGTTCTGAGGCTGCTGATTGAGATCCCAGTATTCCCTTTGTGCATAAACTGCTCTCATGTTGCGTGACCTGCCTTTTATGGTTTGGGGAGAACTTTAGACACATGCAGAGCAGTATAAGGCCAAAAACTTTTCAGTTTATCAAGATTTCCTCCAATTTTTCTGGTCTAAGTTTAGTTTATATATTCGTCAGTAACTGCCCAGTCCTAATGGCCAAGCTCTGCCATTCTAGGAAACTAAGAAAAAATACTACATGTATGACTTTGTTGAATAAAATCAATGGAAATGATAGCCTTGCTAACGTCTAAAGTGTTTACTAATTTTTACAAAGTGTACACTTGAAGCATACACTTATTGCCATTTGGGAAGCTTGTACACTAACACATAGTCAAGTAATCATGGCTTTAGTGTCAGGTTTGTCAATGTATTACTTTACAGAAGGCAA